TATATAATCTGATGTTTCTTAAGATTATTTTGAGTCACTATCAGAGAGATGAAGATGAGTTTAAATAAAATTGTTTCAATAAACAAAAACCAGAGTTTTCTTTGTTAAAGAGTTCCCCTTTGATGTCACTTCCTGTTTCACTTTGGCTGAGCCAAGTTCCAAAGAAAATAAGCAAATTATGTGACAAAATGTGTTAAATTGTTTGTATTATTAACACTTTCTTAATTATAAAGATGTTTTCTTTGACTTTTTATAGTATTTGAAGAATAAGCATGTCCCAGGCTCTTTAAAAGATGTCACAAACACATGAGCAGAAAAACAAAGCTTACTTCTCTTCCCATCAGGATCAGCGTGGGCTTTACGAACCAGGAAACCACTTTTGTAGAGCTCACTGTCAGCCTGCTGGGCCACACCCACTAGTGGGTTTCCACCAGTCCCGAGTCGCTTCAAGGTGTGGGAGGCGGAGTCTGTTCGAACCTCAGCTAGCTCTGACACGGACTTCCTTAACTCTTCTTCATCACTTTAAAACAGAAGAAAAACACGAGGTTTTATTAACACAGGTTCTTGAGGTTATTTTTAATAATTTGGTGAGTTTCAATCAAGACTTTCAAATATTTAAATGTGACTGGACATCATGATCAGCACATGTTTAAATCTGATGACTGATTTATAACATTTTGACCCAGTTTATTGATCTTAATCAGCACATCATGTTTCTCTGTTTTCATTTACCAACACATGTAAGACAAGTCAGGACAAACCGTTTGAGTCGTAGCTGCTGCTGATTTAAATCAACAATGTTCAAGTCAAACTGAGCAGAAAGTGACCAGTTTGATCTGTCGTCCTGATTGGTCAATCAATACATTGAGTTGACTGATCAATAGCACACTGATCACTTGGATTCTCTGCTGAAACAGAAAGAATTCTTTGTATCCGTCCATCATCTGTACCCGCTTCTTCCATTCAGGGTCACTGGTGCCCATATCCAGCAGTCCCAGTGTGAGGGGCGGGTACACCTGGACAGGTCTCAGGTAGAGCTGGGTGGTATGACCTCAAATTCATTTCAGGGTATAAATCGGCAGTAAGTCGGGCTCGTTTCCGATGAGAGTTGGACTCCGCCAAGGCTGCCCTTTGTCACCGATTCTGTTCATTACTTTCATGGACAGAATTTCTAGGCGCAGCCGAGGCGTTGAGGGGATCCGTTTTGGTGGTCTTAGGATCGCATCTCTGCTTTTTGCGGATGATGTGGTCCTGTTGGCTTCATCGGAACGAGATCTGCAGCTCTCACTGGAGCGGTTCGCGGCCGAGTGCGAAGCGGCCGGGATGAGGCTCAGTGCCTCCAAATCCGAGGCCATGGTCTTGAGCCGGAAAAGGGTAGAGTGCCTTCTCTGGGTCAGGGGGGTCGCCCTGTCTCAAGTGGAGGAGTTTAAGTATCTGGGGATCTTGTTCACGAATGGGGGAAGAACGGAGCGGGAGATCGACAGGCGGATTGGCGCAGCGTCTGCTGTAAAGCGGGCACTGTACCGGTCCGTCGTGGTGAAGAGAGAGCTGAGTCAGAAAGCGAAGCTCTCGATTTACCGGTCGATCTACGTTCCTACCCTCATCTATGGTCATGAGCTTTGGGTCATGACCGAAAGAACGAGGTCCCGGATACAAGCGGCCGAAATGGGTTTCCTCTGCAGGGTGGCTGGGCTCTCCTTTAGAGATAGGGTGAGAAGCTCGGTCATCCGGGAGGGACTCAGAGTAGAGCAGCTGCTCCTCCACGTCCAGAGGAGCCAGTTGAGGTGGCTCTGGCATCTGGTAAGGATGCCTCCTGGACGCCTCCCTGGTGAGGTGTTCCAGGCACGTCCCACCGGGAGGAGGCCCCGAGGAGACCCAGGACACGCTGGAGGGACTATGTCTCTCGGCTGGCCTGGGAACRCCTTGGAGTTCCCCCGGAGGAGCTGGAAGAAGTGGCTGGGGAGAGGGAGGTCTGGGCCTCCCTTCTGAAGCTGCTGCCCCCGCGACCCGACCCCGGATAGGTGGAAGAAAATGGATGGATGGATGGATGGATGGATGGATGGATGGATGGATGGATGGATGGATGGATGGATGTTATAAACTGAACCCCTTCACAGTAACAGTATATGTCATGGTATAAAATTATCAGAAAAAGTTAAGATAATGTAATTTTTAGAGCATTTTTTTCAGAAAACTGTGATCTTAATTAAACCCAAAGTTTTTGCTTTAATATCTGTCTGCTGAACTTATCAGCTGCTGCTCTGCTGCGCGCTCATCTTCATCATCTTCATCATCTTCATCATCATCATCAGCGCAGAAGCCGACTTTACTTTAGCAAGATGGATTTACGACAGAACGAACGCCCACGTCTTTTTAAAATCATCTCTGTGGGTAATTTTACGTATTGTACTTGAATAAATACGGTAATTCATCTTTATATCCCACAACACCAGTTTATCAGCTTGAAAAGTAATTCATGATCATAAAAAGTACAGCATTAAAATGTAAATAAGATAATATTAGACAATAAAAATCAGACTAATCAAATAGCTGCACATCTTAGGCTAAACTCTGCTTCTAATTAGTTTTTTAGATTTGTCATAAAAAGTTTAGTTTCCAAATATAGGAGGGGAACAGTTTGATTTGATGATTTTAACATAACAGTGAACTCTTGTTGTCTGTTCAGATATAAATTAATTTTCTCTGAAAGCTGCAGGGTCTAAAATGATAAATAAAGTCAGACGACTTGATTTGTTGTTAGAATATTAACATCTGAACAGAAACATTAACTTCAGAGTTTACATGGAGGAGAGAAAAGGCTGCAGATAAAGCTGCACACACACACACACACACACACACACACACACACACTCAGCCATGCATGGGCGTTGGGATGCTGACCTATAATTACTGTGAGGAGAGAAGCAGGAAATGGTTACCAAGGTAACAGAGGCTGAAATAAGGGATTCAGGGCAACGAGGTCGTGCATTTCACATGTGTGCATGTGTGTTGTCACTCACATGGTCCACTGCAGTTTGTCGTTCTTGATGGAGCTGTAGAGAGTCTGCAGAGAGACAGCACACAGTCAGCTGTTGTGTGTTGTTTCTGCACAGTGACAGATGGCTGTTACACACATCACTGTTTAATGATACAACAAACACAAACCTGCCTTCTCACATCACACCAACACTGAAGTGAGGCAGTGTGTTTCATTGTGATGTCAACTGAAAACATCTGGGTTTGACATCAAAACATCAACATGAGAAAAGAGCAACAACTGAGCTTTCATTTTCAGGTGTTTACATCTGGATCCAAACACTTTGTTGTTGTGATCCAGACAAACCAGACCCTGAGGAGTGAGGGAAGTGAGATTAACCTGCAGGTCAGTTCCAGTGCATGAATCAGTGATGTGTGTCCACTAAAGGCTGAGGCTCACCTTACATCCCCGACAGAAAAAAACAACACAATAAAACATTAAAAATGTCCAGTCTTTGTTATTTAAACTCATTTTCCATTTGGACCTGCAGTTCTGAGAACACTGTGTCTGTTTACACACAGCTGCTTTTCAGTCAACCTGCACATGTGTTGTTGCACTCTGCTGTTAGACACCATTACCACGTGTCACAGTGCACATTTTGTGGTGTGAAGTGCTTTGCAGGTGTGAAAGCATGCATGCGTACACAACATGTACACAAGCGACTTTAGCAAAAGTTTCTTCTAAACTAACAATTACAATAAATTGCAGTGTGTGTTTTGTGCTGTGCACCCCTCACTGCATGAAGGAACAAAACTTTCACGTTACATTTGTGCCATCGGCCTGCGTGCAGTAACACTGATCTGAGAACACACATCAATAATTTGAACTGTGTGTATTCACATCACACACACACTCACACAGCTCCCTCCCTGCTTGCTCAACTCTCTTCCTGATTGTGCCTCCCTCCCTCCCTCCTCTCATCCTCCCCTCTGCTCGCAGCTGTCTCTGCGCTCTCAACCCAAACATTATATGTAAATGAACCAGATCAGCAGCCAATCACAGACAGGCTGTTTTCATCCAATCAAAGCACTTGTTACAAATCTACCAAACTAAGAGACAGAAATGACTAAATCTTAGATGTAGGCCCATTAAATCAGCAAAAGATAATAATAAGATATATTTTATATATTTTGTAGCCCAGAATATTKAGTTAAGCAAACAAATATGCTTCCTGTCATTGTGTATTTTAGGCAGTGCATCTC